TAATAATAATATATATCGAGAGTTCACGACGAGGAGTTGACAGGTCACATGTTTAAACTCGCCACGAGTTTATTGACTTTAACATACATAATTTACAAAAAAAAAAAAAAATGATGGGGACACACACGCACAAAAAGTTATGAAAAATGCAATAATAATAATAATAATATTATTATTTATTTATTTATTTTTTTATCACTTATACATAAAAATATTTTATGTACATAAATAATAACAAAAATATACGATACCCATAAATAAAATAGGTTAACGTCAAATGATTTTAAAGGCAAAAATTTAATATATATATTTATTTATTATCATTATTATTATTATTATTATTTTTATACTTTATGGATCGTCATTTACGTTTAATATTTTTCCTTTTTTTTAACGGCCATTTTCTTTTTTTTTAAATATATTTTCTGAATTATATTTATATTTATTAATAAATATATTAAAATTAAAATAAAAAAAAATAAGAATTCATCTGTAGCGATAATAATAATAATAATGATGATGATGATGATGATGATGATGATGATGATGATGATGATAATGATAATGACAAAATGTTTTAATGACTAATGAAATTTTGGTGGTTATTAAAGTGAAAGTTTTTGTTAAAAAAATTTTTTTCGTATAAAATAAGGAAATTTTTTTTAAATAATATTATTAACATAAAATATTAATAAAAATATTTTTTTTTCCAACAATAATTATTATTATTATTAATTAATAATGATGATGATGATGATGATGATGATGATGATTAATTAAATTTGTTTTTTTTTAAATATGAAAATCGGAAATCTAAACGAATGTATATAAAACATATATACATATTTAATTTATTAATTTTTTTTTTATTAATTAAATTTTATTAATAATGATAATGATAATATGTAATAACACGGTGTTACATAATTTTATTTTAATTTGATACAAACGGTGACATAATCGAAAAATGTGTAATAATTAAATTAATGTTTGAACGGAGAAATCGATCGATTATTATTATTATGAGATAAAAAATTAATTTAGAAAAAAAGTGTTTAGAATTGTAGTTAATTTTTATTTAAAATTTATAATAATAATAATAATAATTAAAAAAAAAAAATTCCAATCGAAAATAATAATAATAATAATAATAAATTGAGGAAGAGAGAGAGAGAGAGAGGAAATAAAATCAAACGTAATTCCCTCCTCCCCCTTTCCCCTATCGAACAATCCGCCATTTTTAAATTTAAATTTCGTTATTTACCACGTTATTATTTAAATATAATTTTTGAATCGAAAATTTTATTCTTTTTGCAACAAAAGACAAACAAACACAAACAAACAAAACAATAACAAACGAATCGGTGATTAAGTCACGATCCTCGATATTAATTTTTTTTTTTTTTCATTTAAACGTAAAAATAAAAATATTTAAAAAATATAAATATTAATATATAAATATATTTAAATAAAAGTTATAAATAAATAAATACATTTATCATTATCGATAAGATAATAATAATAATAATAAATCGATTGGAAAAATAATATATTTATTTACCTTTTCAATAATAATGAATAATAATAATAATAATAAAACTTTTATACCAAACTTAACAATTAATACAATAATAATAATAATAATAGTAGTAGGAAAATACCATTATAACGATTCATTAA